CCAGATCCAGACCCGAGTGGACGGCGCGTGGCATCTCAAAAAGCCAATAGACCACCACAGACGTGGCCCTATAGGGCTGATGTTCAGCCGGGGTTAAGCGCAATGAGTCACCGCGGCCTCGGCCCAGATCAGGAGAAGGAACGGGGTGGTTTTTAGTGCGTAAGAGCCTGACACTCTCTCTCGTCTTACCCTGGGCGGGAGATAAAATAACATCTGAGAAAGACTATTGCAATATTTCAAGAACTTGTGAAGCTGACTATTACACAAACATTTCTGATTAAGGTACAGAATACCTACCCATTTCCCTCAACTAAATAATTTTCGTAATCAACTATGTTATATATACATACATATGCATATTTCTCACGTGAGTAAAAGTTTTTTTGATAATTTTAGTAATTAACAGGTTAGAATAAATATGTAGATAATCAATACACGGATGTTACATAACACTTCATACACAGACAGACATTAATAAAATTTGATAACTGCTTGTTTCTGAAGATTGTAATCGGTTGCCTTATTGTATGTTAATGTTGATGTTTCGAATATTTCGAGAAATTCTAATGAGTCCGATGTCGCCCGCGCCATATTGAATTGTTAGCATCTATTCAAACTTCGGATATCCGATTAGCCGTCGCTAAAGGTATACCGTTCAGTTTGACAGTATGACATGCATAATATTAAACCAATACGTTACTATTTTACTACTGAATTAAACTTCCTGTTTTTGTTTATCAGAAATGTGAATCTTTTTACTGCCGAACTACGGAGAAGCAATCAATAAAATTATGTGTTTTTACACTGCGCAGTTGCATATTTTCATCTCTATTGGGTAAATTTAAAGGTTGACTCATAATCTTAAATAGTTTTTATCAAAAAGCCCTAAAATGGCAAATATTTTGACTTTGAATATTAAAAAAATATTACATTATTATTTATCTCCTATTATATTATCATTGATTTGACGATGTACTTAATTTTAGAATTAGGTAGGCTCTTCCTATTTCTTTAGAAATCCTTAGCGGGAACACAAACTCCGTAAGTTGCGATTTCATGCACAATTCAGAGAAAGTATAGTTTTGAACACTTCAGTACCTTTTGTATTGAAGTTGACTAGTTGGAAACTACCGTATTTGAATGTATTTTCTGTTCATATTTCCTAATTCTAACCCATTCTTTTTAACTTAGAAAAGAGCTTATAAGTTCAGTTCCAAAACTATGATATTGGGCAATATTCTTGTTTGGGATATGGTTTGTCGATCATACTGAGAGCAGTAATTTAAAAACTTGTATCATTTACTTTACCAATGACTTGTTTTATATTCTTAACTTATCTCAAGACGAGTTCCTAGTCCGAATCTAGTCTAGTTCCAGCACCTACGTTATTGTTTTGCTATTATTTACGTCCTGATTACGTAAATAATAGCAAAACAATGATAACATTCAATTACGATACATAAATGTGACGATAAAGCTGTCTGTTTGTCTCGACTTGCTTTGCATAACAACTGAGGACAGGCGGTAACGTGATTTTCAAGTGTCTGATGTGACGTCATTACCGACTATCGACTACTCCAGTTACCTATAAATAGAAAATATATTGTTTTCGTTGGACGTCACTTTATTATAAACATTCTAAAGTGGTGTGTGTGCAAGGGAATTTCTTTCAACATTCTCTAAGAGGTTCAAAATGAGATTTTTTTTGTAAATGTGGTAGACACGTACTTACGTAACATATAAGTGTGATATAGACTTTTTGAGAAAGGAAGCTCTTAACCTAGCAGTATTTATCGTTCAGCCAGATTGCGGGTTGCGGGGGTTAACGCAATAATGTAGAAAGAGGAGGGATTGGTTTTTAATCAGTAAGAATCTGACACTCAGTCTCGTCTTGGGGTGGGAAGTCACATTATGATTTCCCGTCTCAATAAAAAAAGTCAAAAGTCATTTATTTGAATTAGACCACAATAGGCACTTTTGAACGTCAAGCAAAAAAATAAAAAAGTATTTCAAGAGGTTTAAAATTAAGCGTGTCAGTCTGTCTGTCTGTCCTCTAGTGAAGCTATTTGCTTCTCAAAATATTTAACTGAATTTATCGCAGTAGTCTTTTCTTAATAAATATTTTAACTTATGTTTGGTGGGGTTTATGTCTGAATTAATAACACTCAAATCAATAGAATGTAAACGAAGCGCCAATTGTCAATACAGTTAAGGAAAAATAAATTAAATAATATAATTAAATTCTACATTCTCAATATTAATCCATTTCCATCACATAGGTAGGTAAGCTAGTTTGTCGTCTGCAAATATTACGACACGCTGTGCAAACGTGCGTGCAGGGTTTGATAATAATTTTCATTCAGTTTACTCAATACAGTTTACATAGATAGGGATATAGATACTGATTTAGATATTAAGTAAAACTTTTTCGATAAATCTAACCTAAGTAAATACATTTAGGTACCTACCTATAGATTTTTTGTGCCTGAGTGAGTAGGTATGTAAAATTTTATCGCCAAAATCGCTGAACAAATTTTGATGCATTTCGGCAATATGCTTTAGATAGGTACTAATCTCGAAATGTCCTAGGTTTTTTTTTCAATAATCTGCTTTTCGATTGAAGTTGGGTTTGATACTGCATTTTTTGGACCACCAATAATAATTTACACATTGAATTTTTTGATAAGTTAACATTGCTTAGGAGACTTCAGTTTTCAGAGCAAGTACTTACAAACTTGTTCGTTACTGACACGGGTAATAAACAAAAGTTCTTTAGTTACGAGTTACTTAATTCGGTAGATCACCCAAATACTTATTTTAACTCTTATTGACTTATGAATCTGTTGAAACAACTAAGTAATTTGTTTGTAAAGAGGGATTTTTATAAATGTGCTTAAATATTTACCTTGTCGAAGTAAACACGTAAAACCGATGAGCAATGAGCAAAATGTAATGAAAGAGTAAACAAAGCGGTTTGTAGCTTCATACAGGTAAACAAAGGAAAGAAGAGAATCTTATTATGTTTTTACTTTTATAATTCGAGAAAAAAGTATCTATGCGCTTTTTTGACCTTTTTTTGTTTTAAGGTAGGTATTGTGCCCTACGACAGGTGGACACAACACGTGCGCAGGGCACGCGTTACGCATTCACCCGTAGGGTCGTACGCGCATCCCCCCTCCCCCCAACTCCAGGAGTCCGTAACGACCTTCAAAACACGATAACTTTACTCTAGAAAAATGCAGACGTAAATAAAACATTAATTGTAATGATCTAGACTTAGTGGTGCGCACCAATAGTTGAAAATAGAATAAATACCTAGTTTGTTTAGCCGAGTGCTTGGCCAGGCATGTGTAATGTTAGGTCAGGCTGAGTTTTACAACGATACATACCAATTCTTAACAACACTTTTCAATGCTTTCATTTATTATTCCTTAAAGCAGGGTTGGCTGACCTGACACTCTTTAAAGGATGAATTAACAAAACTTATAATGACTAATTGTTTACGTTAATTACATAATAAGTAATAATACCTATATTGTGCAATTACTAAGTTGTTTCTATAAAGTCTTATCTAAAACACTTACATCAAAATCTTAAGCTATGCGAAGTGAAGTGGTTCACGCAATGCACTTGATGTAAAAAAACAAACAGTGGTAAATAAATATATGTATAGATACTTAGAAATATGAATGCGTGACAGCCCTACCCAAAGTACGTCATCAATTCCACCGATTTCTATCACGATTGTCATTTATTGCATTTTTATTGACCTTTAATTTTCTTTTGGAGGATGTTTTAAAATTCGAACGATTTTCGAATTTGGAAGTGGGCCGAATTCGGAGCCTTGTACCTAGGCCATACAACGTTTAAATTTTTACGTATGTTATACTCATCGATATCTTAACGAGTAGGTAATATACTATTTCTTTCGGTAAGAATACTATTGGTATTTAAATTACTTACTAGAATCGTGATCAAATATAGGTATTATCTAAAGTATAAACGATAAATTTCACATTCAACAAAAGTACAACTTCACCAACTCTAGTAAAAATGTACAGTACCGTTCGTAATTAGAATCGATAAAAGATTATTAGATTTGTAATTTTTTAAAGGATATTCAATCTTATCACTTTGTTATTTAGTTGAAAATCTGTAAAAATAATTTGGTATTAGTATAATTCGACTTCACAGTCAAGTGTCCCAACATTATGAAGTAAGTTATCGTTGTTTGTGTGTATTTAAAAGTGCATTAACACTTGAAGTAAAGTTAAATAAGTAGGTAACAACATAATGAGTACAAAGCTTTATATTTTCCAACATTATGTTTGCACTTCTTATTTGTTCTGTGTGTGGGAAGTAAAGATAGCAATTAAAATAAAAGCCGCAATTTTATTCTGGCGCGGTGGCCGTTCGAGCGAGTCTGTTATCGGTAATCCTGGATTCGATCAAAAAGAGGTTCTTCGCTTCCTTAAAAAAATATTTCGTGCCTGTACCGAATGAACAGCTCATTCGGTATGCTTACTTCTTACTTCTTGCTTAATCCCTGCCACTCGTACTAAGTGCCTAGGTATGTATGTAATGTAATATCACCCACACGAGTGCTTCAAGAAGGATTTGACGAAGAATTATGAATGCAATTCTCACAAAAAAGTACCTACCCACTCTAAAACACTTATGCGATTAATGTTTTTGTTTATAATATGACTAGAAAGAGAATTCCTACCTACCGACTTAACTAAGTATTTGAGAAACTTGTAAAAGTATACATAGTTTCAAAAGTTTTAAATTAATTTCACGAATTCGATAAATATCTTTGAAAATAAATAACATAACGTAACAAAATGAAAGGTATTTAAGTAATATAAATTGTCATCTTTGTTGAAAACTTGTGTAAACTTATTCTTAATGTGAAATACATAATTTACCGATTTTTTTCAAATAAGAAGTAGCTTTAAGTCACTATCTTAACCAATTAAATAATTACGTGAAACACTCACCTATCTGATATTAAAATCAATTCGATTCCCCACTAACAATAGTCCACACAAACACGATCAGTTTCACACAATATTTGTACACACCGCGCAGCTGTCACACGATACACAAGCAAGCAACTTGCCGCCTCGGCCGCGCGCGCGCTTCTGCCAGGCGCGAGCTCTGAGCGCGCTGCACTACAGAGAAAGGTGAACTTTTTTTATCCGCTTCGCTGCATCAAACTTCGAAAGGGGTTCCATTAATTCTTAATTCATACAAAACTATAGGCTGGCAATTACTAAAAATGCAAATTAATATCTAAAACAACCAAGAAATGGTTGAGTTTTCTCGTAACGGTTTAAATCTTTTTTGTTCGTGATACATTCATACTCATACACCGTAACCATGATCTAATCAGCGCATTAAAACGGCAATAAAATGCAAAAGTAATTAGGTAGGTATACTATCTTTATAGGCACTCTATGCTAGTTACATGTGCGTTATAAAAATAAATCGCAACATAAAATGAAAATTTTCTAATGAAGGTAGTTACAGAAGATTTATACAGAATCTCAGTAATTTAAACGTAATTATTGAAGAGAAGAGAAAAGAAAGTAGGTAATTATGCATTTACTAAAACAACCGCCGCAATTATTTGCAAATGATCACAATCATCACAGCTATTTGAATCATCTATGATGAGTTAAATGCGGTTGCCTGACAAATGGCGCCAAAACGGCCAGGTACCTCAGTTACCGCCATTACGACAGCAGCTGCTGCGTCTACGACCTATTGTCACTATTGTAATGCTTACATTCGCATTTATTACAACAGATTTTAGTCCGTATTTGATTGCAATAAGAACTATAATCGCTGATAACGACTCCATTTAATGTTAACATGGCTATAATAATGTGCTATTATTAATCGGAAGTGTAGATTTTTATTAGGGTTTCATTGAAATTAGATTTCTATAAGATCTCAATAAGTACTGCCCCACCTATTTTTGGCAAGTTATTTAAGTTTAATAATGCATAAACATCAATTAGAACCAGTGATTAATGGGATATTATTGTTTTAACCGCGACTTTATTATTTTGGTAGTCTCACACAGTAGTTATCATTTTGGCAAAGCTAATGAATGTGCTCGTAAACACTATATAGAAAAAGACCAACGTAATAAAAGTGTGAATAACTGGTTGTATTGTAGATATGATAATGATGTTTTGTTTTAGACTGCCTATAACGTTTTTATTATTCACATAAATCTTGGAGCATGCTGCCCACACAAAGAGAACACACGAAGATTAAAGAGGAACTCGGCACACCTTGAACAACAGCCGACTGCTCAGCCATTGCGTCCAGTTATCTGAGCAGCCTAAGCCGTATTCTTCAATTATTAGGTTTGCGACTTACCCAATTATTTTCGACTGTGTGTCCTTACCTTACCATACACAGTATATCAAATTTCAAATCACAATAACAACTTTATCGCACACTAAAAGGTATTTTTACCTACTTATTCTGGCTGCACAACAGTTTGCGCCTGATGAGAATATTCGAGCAATAATTTAATACAATTTCAGTAATTACTATCTTGCTCGTATTTTTAGAATAACCCTAAAGTTGTGTTTCGCCGTGTGAATGTGGTTACCGGCAGCATAATTCTTATTGGTCATATGACTCGGAGATAATGTATAGACTGATAGAGTTAATAATTTTTGAAATCGGCCCAGCATACGTAGTATTTGAGTTTATTCATTACAATCATATACCAATTTCCTCTTTTTAATAATAGTGTACATGTAGATAGTACAAACTACAATACACTTAACGAGACATCTTTTTCCCAGTATCATTCAATGACATAAGCGCAAAATTGCCTTTGCCTTTGTAAATAAACTTCTTACCCGATAACCTACTTGTTGGTCCTGTTTATGTAATTCTGTAAAAGGGGAAACTAGAGTCGCGGACACTTGAAATAATCCGGTCTCTGTGATGTGCATTGTCCTACTGTTGTTTTTTTTATGTATAGATTAAGTCGGCAAACAAGCAGAGGAATTACCTGATGGTAAGCAACCGGCGCCGCCCGTGGTCACCCTCAATACCAAAGGAGTTGAGGTGACTTTTGGGGATTAGTAATTTGGTAATTTAGGAATTGGGGGAGGGGGGAAGGATTGGGCCTCCGGTAATCTCGCTCACACGTCGAAACAACGCTGTGGTTGTTTCACACCGGTTTTGCTGTGAGGCCGTGGTATCACTCCAATCAAGCCCCGACCCATTCGTGCCGAAGCATGACTCTCCCACACTTTTGGTTAACTTAGAGCTCGCGAATTAGAGCATCGAATTGTCAACTCCTAGTCCTTTATGTATATAAATTTCTTTGCACTAGTCAGTCTGAATAGGTATCATTGAGTAATATAAAGTTATAAGGCAAATTAATTTGTCACCGTTCACTACTCTTCCAGCAGGTGTCGTAAGAGTCACTTATATGTTAAACGGTTTGGTCCAGACAGCATAACTCTAATAAACCTGATCCCTTCATTCGACGGTCTTCAAGCTGCTTGCATAAATATAAAGGATATGGCAAGCCCCTGTTTTGTAAAATGGGTCCATAGTCCAGATTTAGAGAAAATAAAAATTACATTCGTAGCCGGTAGCCCTGATCATCCTGATAATTTTTTTTTTATGTAATTGGTCGGCAAACGAGCAGACGGATTACCTTATGGTAAGCAATCGGCGCCGCCCATAGACACCCGCAACGGAGCAGTTACGAGTGCGTTGCCGACCTTTTAGGGATTAGGGATTTGGAGATTTAGAGATTGAGGAGGGATTGGGGGCGGGGAAGGATTGGGCCTCCGGTAACCTCACTCACACGGCGAAACACAACGCTGTGGTTGTTTCACGCCGGTCTTCTGTGAGGCCGTGGTATCACTCCGGTCGAGCCGACCCATTCGTGCCGTAGCATGGCTCTCCCACACTTAAAAAAATTTCAAAAAAAAACTTAAAAGATTCATAAAAGCATAATCGTTCATACACAACGGTTTATGTATAAAACAGCCTCAAACAGTTAAAGTTTTTCGCAGGTATTGTATTTATTTCTTGCTTATTAAGTGATATTAGCACATATAATAAAACGTAGAAGATATACAATCTGTGGCACAATTACGAAATGAAGTATGAATGAAGTGACATGTGAAACGTCAATTTACTGTCAAAACAAATCGCCAATATGCCAGGTGTATGTGATGAAATTATTGACGATATAGAAGATTTAATATCTTCGCAGGACATTACGCCCAAAGAACGCTACGCCAGCAGAAAAAGTGTTAACGTCCGATCAAGAAAACGTGACAATAAGAATGATTCTGAGCCTGCGGAAAAGGTTATTTTGGAGAGTGTCGTACCAGGTATAACCTCAAAAATTGTTTATTTTACTACATTCCCTACGTATTTTACGCGCAACTGTTTAAATATCTAATGAATATTGTGTGTATAGGTGGTTCTTATCAAATAAGTTCAAATTCTTCCACTTATAACATACATATAAATGTAGTTCCCCTTTTTAATCAAATCAATAAATTTGATGGCATTATATGTTTCTAAAATTGGTAAACCATTTTCTAGGTACGCAGACTATATACGTAAAGACATGGGGATGTGCCCACAACAACTCGGACTCGGAATATATGGCCGGTTTATTGGCAGCCAATGGGTACAAGTTGACAGAGGACAAATTTGCTGCACAGCTTTGGCTCCTCAACTCCTGCACTGTCAAGAGCCCTTCTGAAGATCATTTCAAGTTAGTATTTTAAGACAGAAGAAGATAAAGATTGTAAAAGTTTTTAGATTAGTATTTATTTATTTATGCTATGTACATAACAGAACATAGGCAGGCTTAATGGATCAGGTATTCTCTTACAGTCTTTCTTTATTTTATAAGTGATGTTTTATAGCCTCCCTCAATAAGTGGACTAGCTAACACAAGAAGAATTGTTCATTTCAAAACCAGTAGTGTTGAGCTTAATGTGTTTAAACGAACAGACTCTACAGCTTTATAATATAAGTATGGATTGTTTTGTTAACATTGAATTTAGATAGACACTCTTATACAAGTGGAATAAAAAATAAATCTAAAATTTAACTAAAATTAGATATTAAAATCAGATATGTGTTTTTTTATTGCTTCTTCCAAATGATGATCAAGGCAGGCATGAGGATGTTGTTCCAACTAGAACTCTTAAATTATGTCAGTAGGTACTTGTTAATAATATTTTAGATAACTTGGTGACAACTATTTATTCGTAAAAAAATCCTATGTTCCATCAAATATTTTAATGAATCTGTACTTATTTCAGAAATGAGATAGAACTGGGTCAGAGTAAAGGCATACATGTGGTGGTGGCAGGCTGTGTGCCGCAGGGAGCTCCTCGAGCTAACTACCTGACGGGACTCAGTGTTGTGGGAGTGCAGCAGATTGACAGGATTGTTGAAATTGTAGAAGAAACACTTAAAGGTGGGTTATCAAGTATTATTTATTAGTAGTTTATAGTTCAATAAATCTAAACTATAATTCAAAGTGGGATTGCAATTCACATTGGGCCTCTGGTAATATAACACTGGTTGTTCCAATCCTGTTTGTGAGGCTGTGGTATCATTTTGGTTGGGTCATCTTTTTTGTGCATAAAAAACATATTCTTCTTTCCTTCCAATACAGGTTCTTCCTAAGTTACAACCAAAGCAACGATTTTTAACTCGCATTCAAATAGGATGTCTAATAATATATTTCAAACATGCATTTTGATATCCCAGAAGATTTCAGCAACTTAATAACTTGTGTTTCATCATCATCATCATCATCATCAGCCTATAAGTGCCCACTGCTGAGCAAAGGCCTCTTCTCACACGGAGAAGGTTTGAGCATTAATCACCACGCTTGCTCAATGCGGGTTGGCGATTTCAAACTTACAATTAGAAAATATAAGTCCAGGTTTCCTCACGATGTTTACCTTCACCGTATGTCAGTGGTGTCTAAATAATCATAGAAAGTACATATAACTCGGAAAAAGTCACATTGGTACTTGCCAGGTTTCGAACCCACACTCTCATGCATGAGAAGCGAGCTCCTTAACCTCCAGGCCACCACGACCTTAACTTGTGTTTATCATATTAATTCTATTTATTACAGGTCAT